ACCAGTATCTAAAAGACATAATCTGTAACACAGTCCACACAACACATACATCAATGACTCTGAAGCTTGATTAGTGAACAGTTAACATTGTAATGCGAGCCATCAATCCAAACTTTCAACCATTCAACCACTTTCACCTAAAATCCAAACAGAATTTTCATAGCACCTCGGATAAATAACCACTCATTTCGTTCAATGGCAAAGGAACAGACCTAAAGCGTAATTGACTGAAAGCTGATACCTCAAAGCATCTCACATGGAGAGTATAACATAATGACACAAGCCTAATAAGATTGACATCCTAGTAGTAGGAATGTCCACATGCCACTTTGTTGAGTATCTGAGCTAGTTTTCCCTATGAGCTTCCACAGCTTTGTATGTATCATGAGTATTGATGTTCTGTGAATAGAATGGTCTTAAGCACTAACAAATTAAAAAGTCCAAACATTCTTTCGAATTCTTTCCAATCACCAACAGATTAGCTTCATGACCTTTCTCCTTTCGAATTTCAGCATTTTTTATGGATGATTGACCCGCAGAATGTATAAAGCCAGTGTAAAGCTGAAATGGGTACCTAAAACATCATAAACCAATCCTAAATGACGGATAACAGAGCAGCAAATTCAGCACAAAGTAAACATTCACAACCAAGCATATCTATAAGCCGTTTACCTGTCAAGATAATATGAGATGGGCCCATCACCGACATCAACAAAACAACCACCAGGAACCTGGGCTATCAATTAAGAGAATAACTCTTCAGTGTTAACTCAATAAACCTCCTTGACCAACAAAATGGCATGAACATTCCAAAACGCCCACACTTCATCCAACCTTTTATCAGCTATGGTTGTAGCATCAATAGGAAGCCCCATATAACCTGGAAATTAATAGTTAGAAGCTAGAACGATAGTATAGAATACGAAAAGTAAACAAAGAAGGACTATTAAAATTAAAAAAAAAAACGAAATGTAAACAAAGAATCAAAAAAAATTAAAAAAAAAACTGAAAAGTAAACAAAAAAAACGAAAAGTAAACAAAAAATAGCGAATTGACCAATGAGAAGGCCAAAAAAGGCAAACTCCAACACATCATAACTCGCCAGGAAGTGGAGCTACGAAGTTCTAAGTAGTGGGAAGTGAAGGGAGTCGTATACAGGCTATCGAATGGTACCGGTCTCACTTCTGTAGCGGCTAAACTGAAGGCTGTAGAAATAGAAATAATAATATAATTAGCCGCTCAACCACAAAATCAATTTCAGTACATTTCAATATTGAAGAATCATATATAAAGACTTTTGATTATCTATATTATACAATTTTTCTCTTTTTATTATACTTCTGTATTATAATACATTAACATATTCGACATATGAAATTAACAATATCTCTTAGTTAACATAATTTTTTGAATTTAAATCACCACCCCAGGTTTGTTTTGAACATTCTTTTGATTTTGGTTTTAGTGGGCCGCTTATAGTATTACAAATATTTATTTTATAATTCATTGTACATATACACCTTTTTACGTGTTTGTTCTTTTGATATGACATTATTAGAAACCAAATGTTTAATGTACTTTGACTATAATAAATGATTGATTGGATTCATAGATATGAATACTTGAATAACCATCAAGTCAATCTATATTGAAGATCAAATTTACTTTTTATGAAGTATTAGCTGTAGTACTATAAGTAAAGTTAAACTTACTCATATATTACATTCATTGCATTGAATCATTCAATGATCGCTCTTAAATTCTTCATGTATTTGTAGATGATGCATCAAGCTATTATAAAGCAGTATAATAATGGACGTAATATTCATATATAAATACACTTCATGAATTTTCTAGTATATAATTGACGATCAATCAATTCATTTCGACATGGAGTTCCAAAACGTTCTCTTAATTTCTATATAGTACTATCATTAACCGCTGTGATTAATTGATATACCATTATATCGTTATATGATTGAATCAAAATTAACCGCTGTGTAAATATCGTATTTCAACCACAAAACCAATTTATTATTGAAAACAACAATTCAATATATACCTGTTTTCATTAGACTTATATTAATTTATCATGACCGTTAATAATGAGTATATAACTCTAGATCAATAAGTGTATCTGGTTTTCCATATTCAGTCATCTAGCACCTGTGTCTATCTATTGATAAATAATTGATCAGCTTTAAATTGTATATATTGATATTGCTTCTTCATAATATAGAAGTGTTTAAAGATTATATATTTACATTTTGGTTGGTTACAATATGTTTAGTTAGAATAAATGATTGATTTGATTTAGATGTGAACTTGAATGAGATCTTCAAGCCAATCTATAATCATAATCATATTTACCTTTAATAAATCATTAATTGTAGTATATAACAAATCAGAGCTATAAATTCGTGTATTATATCTACAATAAACAATATCTGGATCGGAACCTCAAATTATAATAGATTATATAAAACCATAAACTGCTAATCTGGTTATATTTAACCATTTATATGAAATGCATAGTATACAAACCTTCTTGAAGTAATAATCAACTTTCATTTTGATCAATGATTATCTTTATAATTATTATAAGGTAATTTAAATTAGCCGCTGTCAATATGTGTATTTGTGTACAAAATAATTCTGAATCAACAATATACAAACATTTTTATTTGATAAGTTTTGATTTATCATGATAATTTCTTTAGTGCACTTTAGACCACAAAAGACGAGAAGGTTAGTTTTCAAAAAAATCTCCGGTAAATTGATTTGGACCACACAAAAATGTTGTGTATACCAAAAAAAACACTAGGGACTTGATATAGATTCTCAATATTCATATCTTCGACTTGATATCGTATATATAAGTAGATTAAGACTCCAGGATTCTAATGGTATACTTAGTTTTCCAAAATATATTCTCTAAGTTGTTGTTTTGTGATGTTAAAGTTTCGATCCTCCCACCTCTTTGAATTTTCTCTAACAAAAATTTTCGGTGGGTAATAATTATGGCAGATTTCGGGTTCAATAAAGAAAAACAAGAGTCTGAAAACCACCGAACGCCAAAAACATATCAAGAAACGGTAATCCCGAATTCTACCATACAAAAATGAAGCGCCTAGTAGTTAAGATTCGGAGACTTGAAAAAAGTTTAATTTTTGTTAGTAAAATTTTTGAGACCTTGATAAAAAAATCAGAAATTTGGGAGACTTTCTGACCCTAGAATCGAGTTTTGTAGATAACTTTCAAATTCAAACAAATTTTTTCCCCAAAAAGTCATATAATGTTAAACCTCGTGTAACGATATAGTTTGCCAAATTTTATCACAAAAGGACACGTTCTGCGTTATAAAATCGTGACAAATAGATTCCCATAGTTAAGGATTTCATGCAAGAATATGTAGTCTTTAGGCAAATTCTGGAAATGTATGGGGCTAAACTAAATCTATTGTAACTTCGGCTCTGATATTCTGATAACATTATGATTCTCTATACAAGTACTAGATGTATATATATATATATACATACCAAGTTTCATTTAATTTGATCCAGTATTGAAGTTATTAATACTCAAAACAATAAATAATTTGGAAATTACCTGCGCTTAAATTCAATTCGCGAAATCTTTAGAAATTTAATACTTATTAAAAAATTGATAAACATATGATATTATCAACACCAATTTATTGTAGTTGAAGTCAATTGGGTCGATAATCATTGGTTATATTGTTATTGTGGTGGTAATTAGAAGCTTGGCGCTTGAAATTTTACAAGAAAAAAGCGTTCAATTGTACATCTGAATGGGTGAAATCAATCAATTAATTCTTTGTTTACATTTTCGAGATCAACAATAAGCGTTCAAATTCTACTCACAAGTTGGATATTTATATGATACAATGAGCTCAGCAGATGAAATTAGAGCAAGTGCGTTATTTAGCCAATGTCCACATTATCAGCAAATGGATCTCTCCAACATTAGGGTGGAAAAATCGTCGAGAGACATATCGTTTAAGTCACTTAAAAAAGAGACAATATTATCACTTTTGAACTATAGTCAAAAAGATTGGACGCTTCAAAATAGACTAGTGAAGCTTGTGGTATGTTTCTGGTATTTTATGATACGATTGCAATAATATTATGCATATTGTTGAGTTTTTAATGAATGACAAAACTAACAGTGGTTAATTAGGAAACTTCAAGACAGGTGATTTTAGCTTTATTATATCAAAAACAATGGTCATTTATCCTGAATGATCTTACCGTTGACGAATTAGTTACTATTGATGAAGAAAGGGAACTTATAAACATAATAATAGAAAAAAATAAATCATTTTTAATCATCAATCCACAAGAAGAAGATCCAGAACCCCATCCAAATTCAACATTTGTTGTAAAATATATATTCTTTTACTTTCTTTTGAAAATAACTGATATTTTATCAAATAAAAAACATTACAATGAGATCAATTCAGTTCATGTGAAAGAGAAGGTGATGGATTCAAATCAAAAATTTTCCAAAATACATAGCCAAGTCAATCTCAACTATTTAAAACAAAATTCAAACAATGAATTCATCATTTCACCATTCTTAGTTGATCATGATCATCCAGATTCGGTTGGAACTTCTATATGTCATGCAAATTTTAAAATTATAGATAGAAGAGAAGTTGAAAAGTTTGACTATCTTGTTTTTGATAATTTTAATACAATTAATGATGTTGAAGATTATGAAATTGATTTTCAACAAATTTTTGATGATGTGTCAAATGTTATTGATACTGATACAACTAATCTTGTTTGTCCAGAGGAATTTACCACTTCAAGGTTGATAAAGCTCTCCAAATCAGTTGAAAATGAAGATTCAACTGGAAATAATTTCATTATAGATCTTAACATTAACACCACTCATGTTGAAGATGCAAATCAATTAACAAATAATCTTGGAATCAATTCAGCAGCAGAAATTCATACAAAAAGAATGGCTTCACTTCCAAAATCAATTATCGAATTATTCATCAAAATTGGTATTGACCAATTTAATCATAATATAATGAATGGAAATCTGCAAGATAATAATTCAGAAAGTGATACAAGTGGGCAAGAAGATCAAGAATTTGGAAACCATGATATCGCAGATGACGATGATGATTGGTTTAATGATAAAGGTGATGATATCCCATTCGACATGGCTGCATTAACGTTTTACGAATGGATATTGACGCTATTCGGTAACATCAAAGAGGATCCGATAGAAATTTTCCAGATCTTGATATTAGCATTATACACATGTGGTCAAATCCCTAAAACAAGTTGTGAGATAATATTGGGTTGTTTTTCAGGTATTGTAACAACTGAAATTGGTATAAATAGAACTCAAAGTAGCATAATTAATAGAAATGGAATCACAAAGAATAAAAACATTTTCAAAGAATGTAGGGAAATCTATAATGCATCATATTCTAATTATAAAGAAATTGAGGATATTGAAAAATTCAATGAAGTGATTGATGCTACAGTTTTCAATAGATCATCAAGTCGTCGTGATAAATCAAAATTAGATCATGATAATGAGTTCAATATACAAAATTCAGAAGCTATTGATGAAAAATTAGATGTAAATGAAGCTTTTGCTGAAGAATTCTTGAACAATAAATTGAAAAAATTGAAAATTATCTATTCAGAAGCTAGACCATCAGAAAAATTTTGTTCAAACTTGATAGATGCGTTAACAAAGTTGAAATTACTCTACAAAATTTACATATGCTGTCATTGTTCTAATGGGACGAACTACGTATCTCTCGATAAGGTGTTTGAAACACTTATTGGGGATACATGGGTTTGCAAATGTTGTCATAAAGAGAATACTATAACTTCAAAATCCAATTCATTTACTTCTCTTTCTCCAAGAGTATACATTATGTTTATGATGCACTCCAAGAAACTAAGTCACATAATAAACCAAAGCCACCAAGAAATTCATAGAAATACTAGAGTCAACTCAAATGAATTCATCAATTTTCAAAATGCCAATTTTGTACAAAGGATTAAATCATTAGAAAAACAGTTCGTGTTTGGTGTTGATCATGTATCGGGTGTGGGATTAACTAATGATCGAAATCATTATGAAGCTGATGCATTGGAGCTTTCGCTCCTTGGTGAGTGGGACGGAGTGCTGATTGGTTCAAGTTCTAATGGCTCCAACAGCTTCTGGCCCTTATCATTTAGATGTCTTGAATTAAATGAATTATCAACAAGGTATATTATAAATTCTACTATTTTTCCATCATTCAAAAAGACCACATTCAGTGAGTACCATGAATTGAACATAAATCAGTTTATTGCTCCAATTATGGATGATATAAATAAAGCTGATTTGCTTGGGACAATGGTTTTTGATGGTTCAGTACAAAAATTTAAAAAAATATACCTAAAAGTTATAGGTTTTACAGGCGATGCTCCTGCAACAAGTAAATTGACAGGAACGCTAGGCTCAACTGCTACCAATGGTTGTCTGGATTGTCTTTGTTATCGTCCAATTCATAATGGTAATGATACTGTTGATCTTACAAAATATGTCAAAGAAAAAGGTTATAAAGAAGTATTTGAAGATGCTGATCTACTAAATGATTTCAAGAAGTATGTGTTAGATAACACTTCTAGTGGATTTTGGACAGGTGAAGAGAATATTATGCAATTACCAAAACTTAAAGATGGTGCTTATAGAACATATGTTTATGAATTATTACAAAACTTTCCAGATCCAAGCTTATTAACAAAATATGTTGGATATTCAGGTTTAAGCAAAATCTTTTGGGGTTCCAATGCTATTAATGAACTAAAGGTAAATATACCAAATAGTATGCATTGTTTCTTGGAAAACTTATCCAAAAAATTAATTTCATTAATTTTTAAAGTTAACAATAGTTATTTGGTTTATAAGCGTTATGCTTTACAAAACAAAAAGTTGGTGCTGGATATTGGTTTAATTTTGAATAAAAATATGAAGTCCTGGCCCTTATCCTTTGGAGAACAAATTAGAATTGCAAATCTTAAAGGAGATAGTTTTTGTAAAGCTGAACAAATATCATCCATCGTGATTCTCATGAATGGAATTTTCAAGCTGAATATGTTTCAAAATTGTCTTGATCCAGAAATCATTAAACTATTTGAAGAACTTCAATTTATGTTAAAGATTGGGTTTTCCAAAAAGGTGAAATTTTTTGAAATTAAAATCTTTGAAGAAAGAATCCAACAATTTGTCAAACGTTATGAATCATTATTTAGCAAAGATCAACATCCATCTATCTCAATCACAAGATCATCCTATGTCCACTCATTATTACACATTCCAATGGCCATAGATGAATATGGTCCTCTTGGTTTGTTTACCGGCTATCGAATTGAGCGCAATATGGGAGATTTCAAACGAGGCAATTTTGCTCGTTCCAATAAATCAACTGCTTTAACAAGGAAAGATTTAGTGCTCAAGAATGTCGTGGATATGATGATATTACAACTAGAGGATGATGAAGATATGGTGTATGTTATTGAAAATACTTCGATTTCAGATGAAGAAGAAGAAGATGATGGAGAAGATGAAGAAGATGAAGAAGAAGCTGCTGCTGCTGCTGATGATGATCATGATGATCATGACAATATAAGATCAAGTTCAGGTGTTGATAGAAATAGCATCGGTGATGATGATTTGGAACCAGAACCAGAATCTATTGATCCAATTGCAAATCCAGATATCCATATAACACACGATGTCACATCATCAGCTGATGAATATAAAAAACTTAAAATTCTTAGGAACTATTTAAAGCTTAAAATGCTAAATAAAACACAGAAATTTGATGATTTAGATTTTGAATTTACCAATAAGTTCAAAAAAAGGAAAATATCAGATTTTCAAAAATTTGAAAATTTATTAAAAGATGATTCAATGAATGACAAAAAGAAAATGATAAATGAAAATGCAGATGAATTAAAAGCTAAAATTTTAAAAGATATAAATAATACTGAATATTATGAAAAAAAGTCAAACAATATATTAGATACATTTCATTTTCCAAATGAAAAATCAAGGTTCTCAAAATACTTAAGAGAGCTAGAATCTGCAAATACGATACCACCAACAGTTTTTTACAAGCATACAAAGAAGCAATATGACATAGATTGCTCAATTGGGACAAGTGTCCAATGCATAGACTCAATGACCATACATAATTTTAGTATTGGAAATACTATAATTTCAAAACAAAATGATAAAAAGATACATGATCATTTTGAAAATAGTAAATTCAAAAGAAATCCTAAAAAAAACTCGGTTGTTATAATAGCTGCTTCAAATAATGAGAATAATCAAGATCATTTGGAAAGTTCTTATGAAATTGGCCAAATAGTAGATATTTTCAACATACAAAGAGTGTCTAGAGATGGTTCCAAAAAAATTAAAACAATGGCTTTAATAAACTCAATTAAAACCTTATGTGTTAAAGATCACCAAAATGATAATATATTGTCATTCAAATCACAATTAGATCATCAAAAGAATATACAAACAACTTATAAATTGATTGATTCCAAATCAATCAAAAGTTTGGTGTTCCAATGTGAAATAGGTGAAGAGATATTCTTTTTTCTGAAAAGTGCCATCTTTGATTTCAAACATTTGTTTACTACATATTCTGTATAATGATTCAATGTATCGATATGCTATGTAACTCAACTTGTAATCATTTAATTATTCATTTATGTATATATTCAATGCATATCTTAATAATGTTTTGTGTAATTTTTGGAATCATAATTGATTTCAATTTTTTTCAGCGGTTAAAAAAAATATATATAAAATGGGAGATTTCCTGATTTTCCTCTTTCCCTTTTATTCAATCTTTGAACGTGAATTTATTCGTAACAAAATTTGTTGATTTGAATTAACAACAACCCAGATAGCATGATTGATCATTAGTTGATATTGAATTCAAGTGCACATGTTTCAGTTTGATTATAAGCTGTTTTGAATCACAGCGGCTATATTGGAATTATACTGATTAGAAATAGTATGGCGGTTAATGTGTTTCTTCCCATATGATTTAAGATCTACTCTGTTTACAGATCTGGCTTTTGGATTCAACCATTTCAGCAGCTTGAAGTTGCTTTGAATATGATTTCAGTTTTCAATCAATTTAGTTACTCAAATTTTAGCTCTCAATCATTTTAGCTTTCAATTAATTTTAGCTTTAAATCAATTTATTGAATCATTTTAGCTTTTAATCATTTTAGCTTTCAATCAATTTTAGCTTTCAATCAATTTATTGAATCATTTTAGCTTTTAATCATTTTAGCTTTCAATCAATTTTTGCTTTAAATCAATTTATTGAATCATTTTAGCTCTCAATCATTTTAGCTTTCAATCAATTTTAGCTTTCAATCAATTTTTGCTTTAAATCAATTTATTGAATCATTTTAGCTTTCAATCAATTTTAGCTTTCAATCAATTTTAGCTTTAAATCAATTTATTGAATCATTTTAGCTCTCAATCATTTTAGCTTTCAATCAATTTTAGCTTTCAATCAATTTTTGCTTTAAATCAATTTATTGAATCATTTTAGCTTTCAATCAATTTTAGCTTTCAATCAATTTTAGTTTTAAATCAATTTATTGAATCATTTTAGCCTTCAATCATTTTAGCTTTCAATCATTTTTGCTTTCAATTAATTTTAGCTTTCAATCAATTTATTGAATCATTTTAGCTCTCAATCATTTTAGCTTTCAATCAATTTTAGCTTTAAATCAATTTATTGAATCATTTTAGCCTTCAATCATTTTAGCTTTCAATCATTTTTGCTTTCAATCAATTTATTGAATCATTTTAGCTCTCAATCATTTTAGCTTTCAATTAACTTATTGAATCATTTTAGCTTTCAATCAATTTAGCAATTTAAATTATTAGCATTGATTGACTGTGCTCACCGCTATTGTTTGTTTCCCTTGATCTTCAAAGAGATATAGATTTGATCAACTAATAAGCTCATTTTCAAATGTTTTTGAGGTTTTTTACTTTTCATGGCCCATTATAGGCTATCACATCTGTTATTTTGGATTTTTATGGGAGTTTTGGTGGTGGTTTACTGAATCATTTTATGGAATGAGAATTTAACAATCATCCTGATTATTGAGATTTGGATGTATTTTTGATTGTGATACCCAATTTAGCTATACCTATCTATTGTTATTTGCTTCTGCTATTCTTTCATTATTTGCTTGTGCCATAATTTTTCATCATTATTTGATTATAATTTGCTTATATTCATATTTGCTTGAACATGCTATACTACATTCTTTTACATATGCTATCATTTATTTACTCAGGTTTGGATTCACCACATCAATTGCCTGTTAAAATGATCCCAATATAGCTATACTTTTTTATCATTCTTATCTATCATTTTTGCTCATTATTGTTCATTTTTGCTTCCAGTTATATTTGCTTGTTAATCATCAATATAGCTATACATTGTCTATCATTGTTTTCAATCAATATTTGCTTACCATCATTAGCTGCTTCAGATCAAAATATACCCACTGATATAGCTATTTTCTATTCAATTTTCTATCATATGTTTGACCCATTATTTTTTCATTTAATATTGCTTCAATTCTTTCAGTTTTTCCTTCTTATCATCCTTGATATTGATTCTAATAGGATAACCACTTTCAATTTTTATTTTATCAATTTTGGATTGTTTTTAGAATACAATTAATTGTATGTCATTTCATTATTTTATATCATTTTATAAAATTGTAATTTAGTCTAATATAATCGAGACCCTAAATTAAGCGCAACCTGGGGTCTACTAATAATTAAGGTTTCAGACCCTATATTTTAGTCTCGTCATTGAAAAATGACCTCGCCATTTCGTTTTTTTTGGGATTTACCGTTTGTTGTGCATGAGCTATTTGAACTTCC